AAAGTACTCGCCAGTTGAAGCTCTTTCATTCTATATATGATTGTGCTGGATATAGTATGAAAAGTCCAATGGGCCAAATTACGATCTTATGCGCCCCCGTCCTTTAATATCCAGTCTCTTTTTTATATCTACAACCTATTAGAGAGCGTCAAATCCGATAAATAATCGATTTGATCGATAAATATTTAACGTATACAACAGATAATTAGTGGTATAGCTCAAAGATTTATAGCCTGATCGTCAATAGAATGTAGAAGAAATCCTTAGAAGAGTATTGAAATAATATTAGAATATGGTCCTGCAGTCAAGTTGTAATCTCATTTCATCATGTTGAATATTCGATTGAAACTGAGTTCGATGCTGAAACTAGAACTATTGATTAATGTTTATGTTCAACTAACCATCTGACAAGGAGTATATTAAAAGATTAATAACGTTCCAATAGAACAACACATTGCTTCAAACTTATAAACAAGGGCAAAAGAAGATTGGATGGTCAATATCATGATCGAATTTTGTTTTCGATTAAATCAAAAAAAAAAGACTAGTCTCAATAGTATCTATTCGTGACAAGCTATTAGTTATTGTGTCTATTATAGAAAGTTCTCTTTGAAATCCTTTTGTAAAATAAAAGTTTTTCTGTTAACGGGTGTCCCAGGAAGAATGAATCCCTCCCTATTTCAACGATATCTCCCTCAATATTCTTTTGTTCAGACTTTATTGTGTTTTTTTTTAATAAGTCAATGTCCACCTTCACTGGTCTTCCCAAACGAGATAAATCGTCAAGTTCGAAGTTCCTGTTCTTAAATCAATTGAATCAATGTTGTGCTGTACAAATGGAGAGTACATCGTTGCTCATCGTCCTGCATATGTTGCTTGTTACTTCCGTTGCTGTACGGCTCAATCGAAATTCATGAAGTAAAAGCACTAGGAGCTCTCTACGAGAAATCTCTATTTCTAATTCGAAACTAGCTTCTTTACTCATAGTTTTGTTGTTGTTCACAACACATTCATGCTCCTATATATATACCCTAAGTATGGAAACTTCTAGAAGCTTCGCTAATATTTTAGAGGATTACAAAAAAAAAAATGCAAAAAGCTTTGTTGCCAACCCAATAATTGAAGGGTGCTTTTACACTTTGAGATCCCAACGCATATGATTGGTGACAGAACGAGGAAAAAAAGATAATTTATCGGATTAACGTATTAAACAGTTAAATGAAATAACAGATGACGCTTATATTTATTTGAAGTCTAAATTAAAATGACACAAGTGTGTGGGTGTGGGGTGAAGAAGATGTCAACACCCGACATCCACACCCGCACCCACACACTTGTATCGCTTTAATTTAAACTTCGAACATATATAAGCGTCATCTTTTATTTCGTTTAACTGTTGGACACGTTAATTCGATCAATCAACTTTCTTTCTTTTTCGTTCTGTCATCAATCATATGTGTTGGGGTCTCAAAGTGTAAAAGTACTCAATTGAAGTTCTATTTTCATGGTACAACTCATCTTCATTGGATCTTTAGCAGTCTAGACGAAATTAGTCATCGAGTATTAATTATTGATTATGGTCTCGAACAGAAAGGTGAAATTCGTTCTTTATTGATCAATTATGTTCTATTTGTGAATTTATATTATAAAATAATTCCATATTGGATAATAAAGAATAGTTCGGTACATATTAGGACTCGACTTGATCCTTAGATTGAATAAATATTAAACAAAAACGATTTGCTTTTTCTAACAATAATATTCATTTTTATATCAAAGCACGAAGAACAACAAAAACCAGAAAAAAACATAAATGATAAATTTCACCACGAACAAATACAACAAAAATTAGAATAGCCATAAATCTAATCAGATGAGAACAAGAAAAACATGAAAAGTATTAAATCCAATTTTTTGTTCATTATTTAATTGTTTGATTTGAAATAAATATTCATATTCTTAATTGCCAAGTTAGTATCATTGGCATCTTGTATTATTAACAACAATTTTACTAATATCTTCACGAAATTTTTGAAAATCATCATTAAGTTTTGCAAACTCTTCTTGTAATTTAGTATTATTTTCACGTAATTTTGTATTATCATCCTGGAGTTCTGCAAGTTTTTTTTCAAATCTAATATTATCTTCACGTAATTTTGTATTATCATCAAGTATTTGTTTTATATCAGATAATGCTTGATTTTGTTCATCAGGATTAGGGGTGTCAGCGTTCCCCGTTCCTCAGCATTCCGTTCCTAGAAACGGGAACGCTTGTCAAAATCGCATTTCCACGCTATATTTCAACATGGCGAGGTCTCTAGCCATATTCACTTTTCTTTTTATGTTTGAGTGTTCAGCGTTCCCCGTTCCTAGGAACGGAATGCTGAGGAAGGGGGCACGTTGACATCCCTAATTTTTATGAAATTGGCTTTCCTTCGGTGAATTAGTAAAATTTCTGTTAAAAGTGAAAGAAACGTGTGTTGCGTTCCAGTTTCTAGGAACGGAACGCTGAGGAACGGGGTAGCGTTCTCCGTTCCCAGGAACGGGAACGGGGTAGCGTTCCGCGTTCCCAGGAACGGGAACGGAGTAGCGTTCCCCGTTCCTAGGAACGGAACGCAAAGTTGACACCCCTAATCAGGATTAATTGATGATTCTGTAATATTAAATTGTGAAGCATTTGTTGTTGTTATAGCTGCTGCTTGATTTTGTTCATCAGGATTAATTGATGATTGTGTGATGTTAAATTGTGAAGCATTTATTGTTGTTATAGCTGCTATTTCCAAAAAAAAACTAAACAAGAGAGCAATAGAATTAACAGAGTAAATAAGAAGAATCTTGAAGAACAGACGAATCAATCAGACAAGAGGATACCAGATACGCATATGACGAACTAAGTTCTCAAATGGACGGTCACCGAATTTTTTGCGCCACATAAATTCTTTGAGATGAGTTTGATACTGTGAAACATGCTACATCAAATCTAAAATTTGAACCAACGTAAGCTTTCATTGAGAAAAAAATGTTTCATCTCGAATAGATCTGTTGGCTTGACAACTTCGACAGCACCAACAGTAATTATCTTGATATCGTTTAGACGCACCTAAATACCAGTTATGATGATCTTGATTGCATGGTGAACATGGAATGACATCGATTAATCCTAAAAGCTGACAAAAAGCAATGGTATCTTTAATATTATGTGTATACTGGTTCCGTTCTCGATTTGTAAAATCGTCGACAGGAAGAGGTGGCGCATAAGACATTTTGATGTATGATATCACTTACTGTCTTGAGATATACTTTTATAGGCAAAATGAGTAATTTCATCCATTAAGTCATTTAGCACTTCATAGATCTTTTCCGAATTGATTTTATTTTATTGAACACCAAAGAATAAAAAGGAACAATAAATATATTCTCTCTCATCTAATTACGCCATCTAATTATCTCTTATGTTTTAATGGTTGAGTGTATGCATCAATTGAAATTTTTTCCTTCCTGCCATTGTCCTCATACGCGGTGAATATTTTGTGTATATATATACATAATATATGAATAGGCAGTGGATATCGTGTAGAAGTACCGGCTATAAGGAAGTAAGGCAATAAGGGGATAAGACTATAAGGGAGGAACGCTATAAGAGGATAAGGCTACAAGAGTTACAAGAAATATAAGGCTGTAAAGCTACATGCGCTATTAGCGATCTTAGGATATTCAAAGTAAATCATTTTTCTAATGAAAAAAAAGCTTTTAATTTTCTCCTATTTTGAATTTAATTAATAATGCAGAAATTGATTGTAACATCTATGCCAACGAGCTTGATATTATCAATCTAAATTCATTTTATGTTTCACTTTCCTTTCTACTTTGTCTACATCCATTGATTACGAGGATTTATCTAAAGTTAAAATTTTTCATACATTTAAAAATTCAAATCCATCTTCGTATATATATTGTTTGAAAAATTTACAAACTCTTTAATTAGTAGATACAGATTTCACAATATTACCTGATGTAAAAAATTTCCAGAAAGGATGTGAGTGTGGGGTACACCCACCCACATTCATATACCGGCACCCACACCCATACCCTCGATTCAACTCTTGCTGAATTATTTTCTTTGCAGATACAATGAAAGAAAAATACAAAGCAGCAATACTTTGTCAATTTACCATCAGTCTTTTCTATCGAGATTAATAGTCATACACTCATCTACCTCGCCTTGCGTATTATTCAACACAAATTACCAACAGCATGTTTAAACGTATCTTTATTCAACTCACAAACTTGCGAAAGCACATTTCGATCGTGCCGAGTCATGTCAGGACTATTTTCTTTAATTTTAAACTTCAGTGTAGATTAATTTTTGCAGCGAATGAAAAAATCATCATATCGAAATTATATTAAACATCAAACAAGTAGCAGCAGCAGCAATGATACAAATAAGGGCTTTTTATTTCCACGCCATCACAAACAATCTAAGACCGTGGATTCTAAAAAAATATCTTCTTTATCATCATCTTCTACTATAGAACTCACAGTTGAAGCGGTCAAGAATACTATTTTACAAGAGTATTCTTATACTAGCCGTCTTGTATGTGACTTGAACATGTATCACTCACATCAAATTTCATCATTCGAAAAAATGTCAAAATTGGCTAGCCTTCAACTTCGAAAATCAAGAATAGTCGATTATTCACATCTTAACGAACATGGTCTAGACTTTGACTCAGATTAAAATGACAATAGCTGTGAAGATGTGGATACTACCGAAAGTTACATCAATAATGAAGATTCAATCGATGCCGAGATGACGAGGCTTATCTATCAGATCATCTTTGCAATGTTAGTTCGACTACTTTTCAAGGAATGCGAGTTTTTGACTCTATTAATCCAAATTTGGTTAAGTCGTACTTTATCGTCAACATTAATGACACAAAAAAAATGTTTACATAAACAGACCGCTACTCTGAAAAAAAATGAGTTTTACAGAACCCTTCGAAAAGGTTCTGTAGATTTGAAAAAGCTTCCAAATGTGTCCAAAGTCTCAAAAAAAGGATAAAAAATTCTACAGAACCTTTTGAAGGTTCTGCGTTTTACCCACTCGCGGAACCATCTCTTACAGAACCTTTTTTAAGGTTCTGTAAAGCAAAAATAGGTTCCGTGAGAAAATACGAAACCTTAGGGGTTCTGTACAGCAAAAAAAGGTTCCGCACGAAACCGTAATGGTTTTGTACGGAACCCTCAAGGTTTTGTACAGAACCCTTTAAGGTTTCGTATTTTCTCACGGAACCTTTTTTTGCTGTACAGAACCTTAAAAAAGGTTCTGTAAGAGATGGTTCTGCGAGTGGGTAAAACACAGAACCTTCAAAAGGTTCTGTAGAATTTTTTATCCTTTTTTTGAGACTTTGGACACATTTGGAAGCTTTTTCAAATCTACAGAACCTTTTCGAAGGGTTCTGTAAAACTCCTTTTTTTTTCAGAGTACTTGGCTTCTTTCAAATGACAAGTCTACTTTGTCTTCAGATCGTTTAAAACGTGTTATAACTAACAAATAAAATATATTTTCATTCGAGTTCTTCATATTCAAACCTCATCTTGTCTTTTCGAGGTGTTAAATAAACTTTTGGAAGGTAAATTTAGCGGACACAGGAGGTTTAATCTGCTTTTATTTTCCTCGTTGAGAACATGATAGCAGTTTATTTCGTTTGTTGTCATTTGCATATTCAAGTTCGGTATCAAAATTTACGTATAAAGTCACAGTTTTTCCTGTCGTTCAACCATAGAAATATTATAGTGGTCAAAAAAGAACTCGGACAGATGTTTTCTCGATATAAAACACAGTGAATAATCACTGTCAATCATTAGTCAATCATTTTCAATCAAGTTAATCTCGTCAACCAAAAATTCAGCTTTCCCCCCTTGATCGTGCCTACTACACAGGTAAAAATTTTTTTACGTAGGTGAAGTTAGTATGAGATTCGAGTAAAACCTACCAAGATTCGTCCAGGAAGATGTTCCAGATATTCCATTTGTGTTTTAAGTACAACTCGATGGGGTCTATCCTATGATGAATTCAGATTTTCAATAGCTCAAATCATGTGTGAAAAAGCTCTCTAAATACAGCCCCACCGTAAATGACGTTGCTATTGATATAGTAAAATTAGCCGAATTCGTTCAGGAAGATGTTCCAGATGCCCCATTTGTGTTCCAAGAACAATTCGATAAGCTCTATCCAATGGTGTATTCAGTTTTTCCATAGCTCAAACCATATCTCAAAAAATTCAAAAATATAAGTACATCACCATAGGAATCTTGGATTCTATATAGTAAAACCTACCAAGACTTGTCCAGGAAGATGTTCCAGATGTTTCATTTACGTTTCAAGTACAACTCGATGACCTCTATCGAATGGTATCATTAGATTCTCGATAGCTCAAACCATGTCCCAGAAAAACGAAAAATACTGCGATATCAGCATAGAAAACTTGGACTCCATATACTAAAACCAGTCAACATTCTTCCAGGAACATGTTTCAGATATTCCACTTGTGTTCCAAGTACAACTCAATGAGCTCTATCCTATGGTGAATTCAGATTTTCCATAGCTCAAACCGTGTCCGAAATAATCGAAAAATACTGGTAGATCTTCCTAGGAAACTTGACGTCAATACAGTAGAATCAGCCGAGATTTTTCGAGAAAGCTGTTCCAGATGTTCCACGTGTGTTCCAAGTACAACGCAATGAGCCCAATCGAATGGTATAATTAGATTCTCGATAGCTCAAGCCATGTCCCAGAAAATTCAAAAATACAAGCGTATCACCACAGGAATCCTGGACTCTGTATAGTAAAACCTGCCAAGATTCGTCTAGGAACATCTAGAACATCTCCAGGATGGACCTCGACTAATTTTACTGTAGCACCACCAAACTCATGTGTGATGGCACCCACGTTTTGGGATTTTTCGATACACAGTTTCAGGTATCGAAAAGCTGAATACACCATTGCATTGAGCTCCCAGAGCTCTACTCAGAACATAAATGGAACATCTGGCACATGTTCCTGAGCGAGTCTTAGCGGGTTTTACTATACAGAATTCAAGGTTACTGTGCTGATATAGCACTATTTTTGAATTTTCTAGGATATGGTTTGAGCTATCAAGAATCTAATTATACCATTCGATAGAGCTCATCGAGTTGTACTTGGAACATGTTGGTAGACGAATCATGGCAGGTTTTACTCTAATCTTGTGCTAAGTTCACCTATGTAAGATTTAATGAATTATTAGTTATAGCATTAATTGATGTTCATTGATTTTCATTATCTTTATCT